AGGATGAGACTGGCACCTCCCTAAGGAATTTGAAGTGTTTGCTTGCTGGTTTGGGAAGTTTAGATTAAGTCTGGCGAGATTCTGTCTTGTAAGTGGAAGCTAATAAATGCTGTAGAACTATATCTGTACTGTCTCATAGAGTTCTTTGGGCTGAACCTGACAATGGTCAATTGTAAGAACAGTTTATTTTGAATTACATTAGAATTGTTTCCCCCACCCTGCCCCCCAGAAAAATAGCTGTGGAAATCTCAGGATGCTTACAGGGTATTGTCCTACATCCTTATACAGAAATTTTCTTAATATTTTATGTGATCCCCTTCTCCCTGACCCATCCCCCAGGCAGAGGAGCTAAGTAAACATCAGCTCAGCCCTGAGAAAGAGAGGGTGGGAAAGAAACTCAGGATTATCACACCTTGATTTTCTCTGGTGTAAGAGGAAGCAGGGGAAAACTCTGTTAGGCTTTCAACATTCTGCTATTATATCCTACAACAATAGAGTTCCAGTAGTCTTTGTGGTGTCTGTTTCCTCACCTGACCTACCTCAAGGGGCTGATACCCCATGCCAAAAATGTCTGTAATAGAAAAACAAATAAAACCCTAAGGGGGCATAGTGAAATATTTCTAAGACTAGATTGGGCATGCTCAGTGGACATGAAATTCTTGCTGATTCTTGTGGGATGAAGTGTTAACTGTGAGGAATGGGGAATCAAATTGAATATTTTAGGAAAAGACATGGTTCAGAGGGCTATGTAAAGTTTTGTTCCATCTGAGTGCACATGGCATGAATATAATATCTGCCTGCACATTTTTAAGATAACTGCATCATGTCGCTGCACTCTGCTACTGTTGAACAGTACTAGAAAAATGTGTAGCTGCTTTGAAGAGTTGTAGACAGGTATAGTGTTTGGGCCTCCTTGAACTCTGAAGTACCTTATCACAGCCCTAATGATTCATTGGTTGGAACCTTCAAAGAAGGACAATGCAGATGGAACAACATTTTGTTTATTCTATGTATGCTTCTGTGTATGGTTATTGTAATTAATAAAATATAAAAATTTAAATTGGGAAGTGCTTCAGTCTCAACATTATACTAAGCCTCACATTATTATCATAGTATGTGCTAACCTTAGGTTTATGCAAGTAAGTGCACTGAAGCTTCAAACTCATGTGTTCCCCTCTTTTTCTCTGCCATAAGCTGAAAAGTGATTAGAAACTTCTGCTGCCTACTTTAACCTAACCTGAACTTATTGTTACATCTGAACTTGAAGGAACATTGTAGTTAGTGTAACCTATGTTATAATGGAACAAATTAGGATCAAAAGTCGTCTTATCAAGAATTATTATTAGCCAGCATTCCCCCTGTTCACATAGAATGGGAACATCCATTTGGTTTAAAGAAGTGAATGCCTCTGATCTTCTTCTGACTGTGTTGATTTATTATTTCTAGTTTTAGAGGCTGAGGTAAAGAGGCTCTGTGAGGGATACTTCTTCTGGACCCATGACTAACGTAGAATAATGTAGAATAAGAGCAGAACTGGAAAACCATTCTCCAAATCACTGACTACTGAGTGCATGAATAAGGAACGCTCGAGCTATAGGAGCAGCAACAGAAGCAAAATATGAGAAAACAGATTGCTAACTGACCTATAGGCAGACAATAATGTAAGATTTTTCCCCCTCATCCTTCGGCTCTTCTTCATGCCTCCTTATCTTCTTCAGTTGGCTCCTGAATCCTCATAACTAAAGACAGGGGAAAGATTCCATTTATTCCTTCCATTTTCAAGCCTCCTTTGAAACACAATTGGCATGGTGAGAAGGTTACTGAATGTTGTGAAAATGCAAATATGTAACTAGAAAGCTCTTTGTGAAATCTCAAGCATCACACCCTGCTTTCAGGTTGTAATCCCCCTACCCCTCCCATTCCTTGAACAGCTGTTTCCAGTTCCATCATAGATCATTGTAGTTTATTCCCCCATAATTTGCTGTACAATGTCACACTCTTTAAAGTAAAATGGCTGTGCAGAGGTTTGCCTCCTCCCCCAGCCCCTACTTGAAATGGTTTTGTTTTACTAATGCTATG